AGCACACGAGCCGCATACCACTTATGTTTGAAGTCTTAACACTCGAAAACATCAAAATGCTGCTGCCAATCAAAAGTGACTAAAGTCTCTTACTAAAGTCCTAAAGCACTGCTCTCCCCCCCAAAAAAATTCAAAACAAACAAACAAAACAAAAAAAGACTCCTTTGATTTGTACGACAAATCTGGGCAGAGATGGGGAAAATGCTGGGAAGCTGTTTGCAACACTATTTGGGGTAAGAGAGATAGTTTACATCTACAGCGGATAAGGCACTTACCTTGTACATGGCGGACCCAAAGGTTTGATCCTCTCATACATATGGGACCAGGGGCACCACCAGGAGTTAACCCTGAGTGCAGAGCCCAGGGTAAGCCTCAAGCACAGCTGGATGTGGCCTAACCACCCCATGATCTCCACCCAAAATAAGAAAACACCACTTGTTCTTTGTTATCTGAAGTATCCTCCCGGGACACAAGTGCTTTATTTGTATTCATTCTCCTCTCTGATCCTCTTCCCTACATTCCTCTCATCCAAAGCTGTGCTTCAGCCCTTTGGGAGCAAGATGGGAAAATAAAAGGCTCAGATTGCAGGGTCCCCTCCCTAGGTACACTTCACTCAATTTCCATGTGTTCTTTCAGGATGAGCTGCTTTCCTCTGGACACTAGCCCAGCTAATAACAACCATCAGAAAGTTAACAGACTTGATTAAAACATCACCTATCAAGGTTAGTTAGTAACTTTCAGGCAAGCAAGGGGACCAAACATAAATTTAAAGTCCCATTCTCATCTTCATTGCGGTGTTCTGTTAATAAATATTGGAGACAGGGAAATAGAGAGGGCAGGAGAGTGCTCAATAGGTTGAATATCTCTGTATGCCGGAGGCCTAGGTTTGATTCCAGACAGTACATGGTCTCCCAAGAACTACCAGGAGGCCCGTGGCAATGGTACACTAGGTAAGGTACTTGCCTTGCAAGCAGCAGCCTGGGGTTCAATTCCCATCGTCCCAGATGGTCTCCTGCGTCCCAAGAGGAGTGATCCCTGAACTCAGAGCCAGAAGCAAGTCCTGGGTACAGCTGGGTATGACCCCAAAATAAAGCTAGAAACCAAGCACCACCAGGAGTGACTCTGGTGAATGGTCCCTGTACACCTTGGAGGTGGCTATATATATATATATATATATATATATATATATATATATATCCCTCCCTTTTGCTATATATATATATATATATATATATATATATAGCAAAAAAATTTGCAGAATGTGGGGAAATAGCTCAAAGGGCTGAAGCCATGCTTTGCAATTAGTGGCCCAAGATTTGATTCTGGATCCAAATACCTATTCCCACACCAACCCCAGAGGGAACAGCACACACACACATACACCAGCTGTGGAAAATGTGAAATCACCAGCAAGGCGCGCATAGTATAAAGAATTGGAAATCACCTCATTTGTCTATCAACAGATAGATTTAAAATGTACTGGCAAGCTGATGTTTATGCAACACAATCCCATGCCTCTATAAAAAAGATTCTGTTGCTGTTATTTCTGGGTCACACAGCCCTGTGCTCAGAGGACAGGCCTAATGGTGATAGAGGCAGATGAGGGACCATATGTGATGCTGCTTTAGAACCACAATTGGAGCTGCAGCTGTAAACTAGGCAAGTTCTTTAACATTTGGCCTATCTTTTTGGCCCTCAAAAGACTTTTTAAATCTATGAATACACAAATTCTGCATGCATTACATAAGCATGGGAAAGACTATAACTCAGAATGTAAACCCTGGTTTCTCTTGGTACTGAGGGGGATATAATGAAACTCTTCCTCTCCCTTTCGCTCATTTTTCCTCTATAGTAATTAAATACTAGTTGTATAATTTAAAAAAAATTACAAATAGAACAGAAGTTCTGTCTCTAAAAAAAGTCCTTAAGTCTGTACCAAAGCAAATATAAAAGTGAAATCTAGTTCATGACAAAATGCCATTGACTAATCACACCATGCCCATGCCCATGCCCATGCCCTCCCTTTGTTCTCAGTTGACTGAGGTCCTTTGGGTAACAAGACTATGCTAGAACATGCAGAGAGAGATCACCAGAGTTTTTGATCCAGTAGAGACACGAAACATATTTACATATATTTAATAATCACATAATATCACACTGACATATTTACACTATTAAGGTTGTGATGGGCCAGAGCAACAGCATAGTGGGTAGGGCGTTTGCCTTGCATGCGATGGATCTGGGTTCGATTCTTCCGCTCCTTTCCAAGAGCCCAGACCGAGCGTATTCCGCCCGCATGGCAAAGCCTGGCAAGCTCCCCATGACATATTCAATATGCCAAAAACAGTAACAAGAAGTCTCACGATGGAGATGTTACTGGTGCCCGCTCGAGAAAATCGATGAACAACGGGAGGACAATGGCAGTGACAGTGAAGGTTGTGATGGGAAGGAAAGAAGGGAGCTGATGGGAGTGTTTTCTTGCCCTTCCCACCAATTCCATGACTAACATCTCCAATCAACCCTAGGTGGGATCCATTCCTAGAAACTATCTTATGTGTAGAATTTTAAGGAAGAAAATCAAAGCTATTACCTGCCTACAGAAAACTGAGGCACACACAGAAGGATCAGGTTAAATGTTGGTGAGCAGGAGCCTGAAAGATTGTATAGCAGGGACGGTGTATAGCAGGGACGGTGCTTGTCTTGTATGCTGTAGGATGCCCTGAACCTAGCCAGGAGTAATCCATAAACAGACCAAGCCCCCTTACCTCCCTAAAAAAGATAAGCAAAGACTTGTTATAAGGGGTGAAAGTTTTTATGATATTCTATTCCTACTCAAAATCAATTTAAATGGGAGGAAGGCACCCATTTACCTGAAGTCTACTGTAGCCCAACCAACATCTTAGGAAAGTTTTCCACCAAAGGAATAGATGTATGTGTATTTTGGGGTGAACCAAGGAGCTAAATAATTCTGGTTAACAAGTAACTTGAATTTGGGGTCTTGAGTACTTGGGTTTCACTCCTAGCTTTGTGCTGAGGGCACCATGCCGGACACAAGGCAAGTCTACCTCTCATTCTTGTTTTGTTTTTTAAGTTCTTTTTGTTTTTAAATCAAGATCCAGGAATCTCCCAATCCCACACTCTGTAAAAATGAACAAGCCAAACACAATCCTTCTACAGGAAATACCTGACTCATGTCTTCATGCACAGATATGCCTCTGAGTTTTAAGTTTCCAATTTTAAAAGACAAAGCAAGGGTGGGAGCAATAGATCCATGGGCTGGGAACCAGTTGGCTTTCTGTTTTCGTTTGGTTCAGATCTGGGGGCCACACCTGGCTATATTCAAGGGTTACTCCTGACTAATCAGGGATAACTGGGGCTCAAATGACTACATGGATGCCAGAAATAGAACCCTGGTTTGCCTCCTGCAAGGCAAGCACCCTCTCCAGCCTGGGCTGGGGACCTGTTCTCCATATAGAAGACCTGGATTCATCCCCAGCACTGCCAGGGAGCCATTGGGTGTGACCCAAAAATGAAAAAAACAAAGCAAGACCAGGAGGTAGATACAAGAATTGGAGGTATGCAGAGCCAGAGACTTGATTCCAGAATGCAGGTGGCCAGGAACCCATCATAGAGTAGCCCCTGAGTACCCCCCAAAACACACACACACACACACACACACACACACAAAGACAAAGGCAAATGGAGAAGTTCCTTTAGTTTTAGAACTTCCTGGGAATAAACAGCTGCCTGTGCAGAGCAATAAAATGCATACCACTGGTGCAGTTGTTAAATTCACTGTTAATAATACCTTGCTCAGGCCAGAGCAACAGTACAGAGGGTAGAGTGGCTACCTTGCAAGTTCAATTCCCGGCATCCCCCATCACCACAGCCAAGACTAATTCCTGAGTGCAGAACCAGGAGTCACTCCAAAGCGCTGCCCTGCCGAATGTGCCTCCCATCCCCGCCCCCTCCCCCCGCCCCAACCATCCCAAACAGACTAACAAAACTCATTGTGCTGTAACTCCAGAGGGAAAGAACGACAGTCTTCAATCTAACTCAAGCCCTCAATGAGTTGCTCTTTTATCACGTCTTTACAAGAGGACAGAGTGAGATTTTGCTTCTTATAGCAATACTCTGCAATTTCGCGGGGATACTCAACCCTCGCTTATGAGGCTAGCCTGCAGCTTCAAACAGCGGGGCGTTCGTGCACAGCACAGAAGCGGTCTCAGAGGCTACTCACTGCACCCCTAGCGGGTCCAGTCGAACACACCCCAAGCGGCTGAGCAACGCCCCGGCCCACTCCCGCGCAGTTCCGTTCCCGGAGTCGGCTACCTCCCGCCTCCACACCTGAGCAGTCCGCTGCTCACGCTCCGGTGACAAGGTAAAGCTGAACCTGGGATCCCACGATCCTAACGTCACCTGGCCGAATAAAAGGCAGGGTCCTGAAAGTTCCATATGTAAATCAGCGCCACGCACAACTGGCTGAAATTCCAGCTGAGCGCTCTAGCTTGTAACGCCAGCCGTCCACCTGGCCAGAGGAGCTGTGGGTCCCAGGTGGTTCGACTGAGCCCCCAAAGAGGGGGCTCTAAAGGTTGAAGGGATTGCATTAGAAAAATAAAATAAAGTGAACCGGGTCACAGACCAGCCCGCGGGCACCTGCTTCGGACACTCCTTCCTTTGCTTTTTTACGCACGGGACCAGAGCGTGGACGAAAGCTCCTTAATGACTTGGAGTTTGCAAAGAAACCTTCCCGCGGGAGGAGAGGCGGAGCCCTCTGGGTACCTTTAGACGCCTGCAATTCTTTGCTTCCCCTTCCCTGGAGTCGCGAACTTCAACCTCTTTCCGTGGTAACCCAGCTGGTCGCTCCCTGGGCGCAGGGATCCCCGCGTCAAAGAGCGAAGGTGACCGCGAGGGCAGAACAACCCCACGCACCGGTCCCACTACCACCACCTGTCCCCAGCGCGCGGGACCCCGGGTGCTTAGCGGGCCAAGTTTCCTACCTGGAAGGGTTTGCGAGGCGGCGGCCGAGGCCGCCAGCAGGAAGGCGCACGCCAGCAGCCGAGGCGCGCGCAGACTGCGCATCTTTCCAGCAGCCCCGACGCCGGGCGGGCGAGAAAGTCCGCCGCCACCGATTCAAAACTCGGTGGCACTCGCCGTTGGGAGCGAAAGCCGGCGGCTGGCCCGCACCTAATTGGAGCGCCGGCCAGCTACTCCCCGGAGCCGGGTAAGTTTCAGTGAAACCCAAGACGCCAGACGCACCTGCGCGAGGCCACGCCCCCTCGAGCGTCTCGCGCCGGCGCCCTGGGGCCGTCCCGCCTGCGCGCACAAGCTGGCCGGGCGTCCCGGCCAGCCGGGTCTCCTGTCCCCGGGCCCCGTGCGAGCTGGGTGCGGCCCGAGGGCGGGTCAGGCTGGTGAACTGGCTGCTTGGAATGCGAATCCAAGGACGGTTTAGAACCTGGTTCCTGCTAGCCTGGGCAGAGCCTAAAACTGTTGTTGTTGTTGTTGTTGTTTTAACGCTGCACGCACTTTATTTTTAGGCTTTTTGGGTCACACCTAGCAATGCTCAAGAGTTACTCCTGCCGGCGTTTGGGGCGGTGCTTGGGAGACCGTATGGGGTGGGATGCCGGGATCGATGAGCCTGGGTCAGCCGCGTTTGCAAGACAAACGCCCTACCCACTGTACTACCGCTCTAGCCCCTGCTTAAACTATCTTAGCCTTGAATTGCTCTCCGTGAGCCCAAGGCTTTCCTCTCTTTCCTAGATGGCAAAAAAGAAAGGAGAGAGGAGAGAGAGAGAGAGAGAGAGAGAGAGAGAGAGAGAGAGAGAGAGAGAGAGAGAGAGAGAGCCTCTCTCAATCTCACCAATGTTGTGGTCTAATGGGTAATGGTAGTGAGCACTGAAGGATGAGTATAGTTTTCACTAGCAGCAGCAAGATGGATAACAACGAAGAGGTCAGGAAGTAGTCCCAGCCAGAAGCGTCAGGGAACTGAAATGAGGTTTGTGCTCTGCCGTTCAAACCAGGACCTCTTCGTCTTCTAAGTGCATTTTCCTCATCTGGGAGGTGGAGCCAGGGCTAATACTAGAACAGCTACTTTAAGTGCCAAGTGCCAATGATTTAAAAGCACTATCTCCTTTAACTCTCTCAACACCTGGCACCATCCTCAGACTGCTTATTTGCTTTTGTTTTGTTTTATTTTGTCGCCATACACGGCTGTGCTCCTGGCTTCTTCCTGCCTCTGCGCTCATAGATCACTCCTGAAGGAGTTCACGGGATCATACATGGTGCCAGGGATTGACCCCAGGTCGGCTCCGTGCAAGGCTAGCGCCCTGCCTGCTGTACTATCACCAGCCCCATGTTTCTTTACTTTTTAAAGAAAGATGCATATGTAAGTACCCAGTGTCAGAGTACTGACAGAGAGCAGAAACTGTTGGAAGTCACAGTGAAAGGCTGATTTGCAGAAATGTAGAAATTTCTAATGTGCCAACTGGGTCCCGTGGGTGATTGTGGCTACCTGGTGAGGTTGAAGGTCACCTCATCCACTGGGCTTGTGGCAAAGGAATCTGTGTCTGTCCATCATGTTAGAGAATGTTCCCTCTAACACTCTGGGATCAGACTGCTGAGTCTTGAGAATCCATGGTTCTTGCTAGAAGACCAAAGTTTGTTTGATGAGTCAGTTGCCAGTGATGATTAAATTTAAACAACTGGGCTAAAGAGACACACTTGTCTGGCACGTAGTAGACTCTGGTTTGATTCCTTCATCAGCCTTTATGGTCCCCTGAGAGTGACTCCTGAGCATCCCTGGGTGTGGCCCAGAACCCAAAATAATCATAATAAATATGAATGATTTAAAATTATTATTTAGTTTAATATTAGCCTTGTGAGTTTCCAGGTTGGAACCACATCTGATGAAGGTCTGAGACTGGGGTAAGATCTCTTACTTAACCCACTGTGGGGTCAATTAAGAGAACTAATGAGGGGGCCTGAGAGAGAACAGGGGTTAAGATACTTGTTTTGCATGTAGACCAATCTATTTCAGTCTCACACATAGAGACAAGAATGAACAGGGAAAGCTGTCCAGTGATGGAATCAGAGAGATAATACAGCAGGTAAGGTGCTTGGGTTAACACAGGTTCAAGCCCCAACACCCCGTATTGTCCCTTAAACCCTCCAGAAATGACCCAGGAGAAAGACGTGAGCACAGATGGGTGTAGTTTGAAAACTGAAAGAAAGCTGTCCAGTGATCCTTTTTAATGACTGCCTTCCTGTAACCCTATCTCACAGACTGTCTCTAGCTGGGAAATGTGGAAGGAGCCCAGTCATTGAAACATGCAATCCAGCCTATGATTTCTGCCTTTGCCTCTACTACCATCTGTGGGATCTTGGAGAAAATACTGACCTCTTTAAGCTCCAGGTTACTCACCTATAAAATGGAGTTAATCTCTCTTTAAAGGTACTGAGGATAAAATTAATTGTGCTTACCTTTGATGCATCATGGAAGAAGCTAGCCAAGCCCCTTCTCAGCCCCTTCTCTTTAAGGGTCTTCTTCACACATTCCCCTATGTTCTATCTCTCAGAATACTGCCCCCCAGGACTGTAGATCTTTCTCCCAGAAAAAGATACTTCTTGGATCAGCACAGCAGTCTTCCTCAGCCTGTCCAGAGACCTGTTCTCCTGAATGGATCCATTCACTCCTTGAGTCCCCTTCCTGAAGGGACAAACTCAGTCCTAGGCTGCCCTTTAAAGCTTTCCAAGTCTCCATGCTGTCACCTTATCTATTGTTATATTTTATGTGTAAAATCTAGGGACCAGAGTGATAGTACAGTGGAAAGGATGCTTGCCTTGTGCACAGCCAACTGGGTGTTCGCTCCCCAACATCCCATGTGGTCCCCCAAGTCCACCAGGAGTGATCCCTGACTGGAGAGCCAAGAGTAAATCCTGAACAACACTGTGTGTGGCCCAGACACCTAGTGGAGGGGAGCGGGGAATCTAGGATGATCCCAATTCCTTTCTTTAAGCTAGTTGTGAGCTTATTGCCCATAAAGAACTTAGCATATGGGAAGTACTAAAGTAACTATAGCTTAGACGGAACAACTGTTCATTCTTCCTCTGGTCAGAGAAGAATGAATCCAGATGAAACTGTTCTACTTGAACTGTCCTATTCATATTTTTTTATTCTGTGCCTTGAATCTTTCTAAGAAAATACTTTCTTAAACAAATCAATGAATGAATTGTTTCCAGAAGGTGCCATCTACCAGCATCCAGGTGACTGAAGGTCAGTTCTGCTGCTCCTCAACAGCCAGTCAAACTAGGGAGATGGTGACAGTGATGTGTAAAGAGAAAGTAGATGTTGTCGTTTGCAATAGAGGTATTTAGTGGCCACCATGTTTGGTCTATAGTCTACTTTTAGCACTTATCTCTCATCCCGAGCAAACCCTCCTGCACCTTTTATTTGGTGGTCCCTTCTCTCTCTGAGCTGCCTTTTCCCCCAGCATGTGAGGTCGGCTTCTAAGCTGTGGAATAATCCTCCTGGTACTTATCTCTACTATTCTTGGGTTAGTCTCCCATTCTGTTACTTTATATTCCACAAATGAATGGAATATTTCATGTCTGTCCCTCTCTGACTCATTTCACTTAACATGATACACATGATACTTTCCATGTTGATCCTTCTATATGCAAATTGACAGCAAAAGGGAATGCCCTGACACAGAGGTGGGGTGGGGAGGGGAAGATGGGGGAGGGGGTGGTGGGAGGGATGCTGGGGTCATTGGTGGTGGAAAATGGGCACTGGTGGAGGGATGGGTACTCAATCATTGTATGACTGAAACGCAAGCACAAAAGTTTGTAAGTCTGTAACTGTACCTCATGGTGATTCACTAATAAAATTTTTTTAAAAAAATTTAAAAAGTAAATCATTAAATTACTATCATTGAGAGAAAGCGAGAGAGAGAGAGAGAGAAAGTAGATGAGAATATTGGGCAGATGAGAAATGGCAGACCGTGAGAACTGGAGCAATAGCACAGCAGGTAGGGCATTTGCCTTGCACACAGCAGACCCAGGTTCAATTCCCAGCATCCCATATGGTCCCCCGAGCACTTCCAGGAGTAATTCCTGAGTGCATGAACCAGGAGTAACCCCTGTGCATCACTGGGTGTGACCCAAAAAAACAAACAAAAAAAATGGCAGACCCAGGGCCTTCACCCAACCATCATGTCTGGACAGTTGTAGAAGGATATTTGTGGTGAAGGAAAATCAGAAAAGCCCATTTTAAAGAAGGGTGTTTTTTAGGCTACTGAACACCAAAGTTATCAACAAGTTCACTCAGGGACTGATGTCCTGAGGTACTTCTAGTGTAACTCCAAATAAAGATATTTGATTAAGATTTCTGTCCTCCTATCTCTTGAGACCAGACAAGGACACTCAACATTCTTAACCATCCCTAACCAAACAGGTTTTCTAGTTACTAATATTGAATTCAGCTCCTAATTTCTATGGACCAGTTTCATCCTCAATGAACTGCATTCTCTTAAGTTCCTTTGTGGATATTTTCCTGCAACTTTGGGTATTTATTTTCTTAGAGGTTGATGAGCTCTTTGCCCTGTATGTCTGAGGGTGCTGTTTGGTTCTGCAAACCACAACACTAAACCCAAATTTAGATGCTAGCTGTTTGAAAACCAATATCCAAGAGAAAAGAATTGATGGGAGGGGCTGGAGAAATAGTCAGGTGTGATGACCCAGATTCAATTCCTGGCACCCTGAGCCTGCCAGGAGTAATTTCTGAGTGCTGAACCAGGAGGAATCCCTGAGCATAGCAGGATGTGGTCCCCCAAACAAACAAACAACAACAACAGCAAAAGAATTGATAGGAGAAAGCCAGAAAGATAGAAAAGGGCATCGCAGTACTTGGTTTACTGTGATCCTGATCTGATCCCCAGCACCACATATGATCCCTGAGCACAGAGTGAGGAGTAAGCCTGGCACCCCCACCCAAACGCCCATACTAAAACAAAAAACAAAAACCAAGAACAAAAAGAGTTGGTGGGAGAAAAACAGGTTTATTCAGGTGTTACCAACCTGAAAAGATGTGGGAAAAGAACCATTCTGCCCTCAGGCTGGGGTGAGTGGTTTCTACAGGATTGGGTGGGAAAGAAAGGTAGCAGAAATTTGTGGAAAGTGTGTCATCAGGAGGAAGTAGTCTGATAAGCTTCAGGATTCCTTTCAGAGTACCTGCTGGAGTTCTCTGAGGCAGAAAGAAGCC